ATTACAAGTAAAATATTTTCTGATTCATTCAAATCGGATACTCCGTTCTCTCAAAAACTTAATTTCCGTTTTTGGTACTTTTTGTCCCATATCTACGAAACGGCTGAACCTGTCTTCGCAAAAAACTAATCAGCACGTCTTTTTATCGATAAGAATGTTTTTTAAACCATTAAAATCGGTCGATTTGTGCGCCCGAAATCGTGGACGAAAATTGTATCCAAACATATACACACACACACGTACATTTTTTCTGAGGTATGCGAAAATGTTCAGAAACCTTTGAAACGCAAAGATACAACTTACCCTACGGGAAGTTAATAATTATTATAAATATTGTTAATTTCATCGTCGTATTTTATAATGTAATATAAGTTCTTATATTTGGGCGACGGCCTTTGTTTATCTACAATAACAAAAACGAAATAAACATTTCACTTCACTTCATTTCTTCACACCGTCGACATTTTGAGTCACTCTAATCGGGTGCGCATTTCTCCCATTTTTTAATGGCGTCCATTATTCATGTGATCGATTTGTTCAGGATTTTAGGACCTCCTTCCCTTTGGTGATATTTAAAATCACCCCCCCCCCCACCAAACATCATGTGTATTTTTTTGTTGCGTAAAATTTTTCGAACAAGTATACGATATTTTTTATTTTGTTTGGATTTTTTTTAAATTCGTGTAAAAAATAAATACACGTGAGATCTTATTAAAACCCTCCCTCCCCCACGTATTATTTTTTAAATTTTTTGTCAAGCCGCCCTTTTCCCTCCTAAAAGACTCACGTGATTAACACCCACTTTGCACTTCTGTTCTCCGAAAATCGCTGCACCTGCCTTCGCAAAAATGTGATCAATTATTCACCGAATCAATACGAATTAAAGGTTTTTTGTATCATTCTAATTGGATGTATGATACTCTCAAAAGCTAATGGTTTTTGCGCTTTTTGCTACGTATTTTCGGAACAGGCCTTTGCCAAAAATTAATAAGCACGCTTTCGCATCAATAGGAGTCGAATTTCTATTGAATCACTCAAATCGGGTGATCTGCTGCCCTTTTTACCTTCATGTGTACTTTTAAATTTTCTTATGCATTGTTAGAAATTATGTAAAAGTACATGAAGGAATTTTATATTATTATTTTACATGTATTTTATATATTATTTATAGAAGAAATCAATTTGATTGAGCATTACATAAATTGTACAGTTGGCCAATAATTTTTCAATTCCTGATCGAAGTTGTTGCAATATTTGAGATAAATTCATATAATTTTGAATCTAATATTCCTTCGCAATTTTTCTATCAGTTATATAATAAAACTGCATATATTTCATCAGAATTTATTTATGTTAACTTCAAAACTTTCATAATATTTCAATTGATATATTGAGGCGTGACGCATTTATGTTGCTAAATTCATTGCAGTGATATGGTTTAAAGAATTTATATATCAATTTTTACTTTCTTCGATTATGAAAATATAAATATCGGAAAAAACACATTTATAAAAACTAAATTATTTGCTACTTAAATATGTCTCTATTATGCCAGAATACAATTCACAAATTAAAATATATACAAGTCCTATATACTAGTCCAGTAATGGAAAATGAACTAAAAGAATAACGACATTGGAGTTGAATATTGAATCTTGTACATAATTATCTTGAAGCTTATATATAAAAATCTTGAATATTAATATATTCAGTATAAAATTACATTATATATTAGCATTTAAATGCTTAGCGAAATAGTCATGCATTAACTTTGAAAATAATTTGTAATGCTTTAACTATTAAAATCATATAAGTAATTGAAACCTAAGCAAGTTATATCTTTATTATTTTAATTAATATAATTAGCTATTTATCAACGTGTCTTCTCACGGATTGTTGAATTACTTTTGCTTATTAATGACTACATTAAAATTCTCTACGTGCGAACTAAGCATCTCTATATTTTATACAGTTTTGTATTACAAAAATGAATTTAAAAAATAATACGAAGACTATCGAAGTATATTATCCGCAAAAATCATTTCAAAATACTCCACGGCATATAAATAAAAACTGATTGTTTTGAAATCAATAAAAGTTTAAACACGAATCTTTCGCAAAACGTTAAATATCATGTTAAAGTTCAGATGAAAATTTATGAATCGAAAACCTGATTTAAAAACAAGAATTGCAAATGATTGTTTCGAATTATGAACAACATTCGCCGCGGACTAGAACTAGTATTATAAAATTATTAAATATGATAAAGCCAAGACTGTTCGAATTCTAAGAAAGTACATATGATTCAAATCCTATATTTGTAATTTTTTTATTTATTAATTGATAGTCATAGCATAAAAAGTTTAAACAAATTACAGTAACATGCTATTATAAGAACAAATATACATTAAAATTTGACTTTCAAAAAAAAAAATACTCCAAGCAAATAATATTTTTGAAAAAAAATCGCATTTATGTTTTTAATTAGTTCTTTTTTATTATGAACTTTTCCTAATTTGTTTTATATATTTTTATAATTTTAAAATTGAGCATATCTGATCTATTAAAATTATAAAATAATCATTTCACGTCATTTATCATATTATTTAATTTTACTATTTTTTCAGTACATGTCCAAAAATATCGTAACTTAAGTTATTTAAAATTTATATATAAATAGTGTACCATTTCTTTGTTGTTTTATTCTTACATGCCATTCAGTTTTTTTGTAAATTAATACAAAATGAAAATTTAGACTTTTTGCATAAATATAATACAAAAATCAAATATCTGGATTGAATGTCATAAGTTGTCGATTTAAATCTTAATTGTAATTATTTCTAAAAAGCGGATAAAAACTAAGTTATAATCCTAAAGATTAGAAGACCAGTGAATAAATTAATGATTAGTTTAAACAGAAATCCAAAAATATGTTTAAAAATACTAATACATCTAAAATAACTACATGGATAAAGAATTATTAATAAAAAAACTAATTCTGAGATAAGGCAACAATTTTCTAAATACTCGTGCGTCATACCTGTCAGCATTATCAAAAAGAATTTGAGCAAGATTTATATGCCAATAAATTAATATTAACAAATTAAATGATTAGTTTCACTTATCTGCTAATGTTATATCGACATTTATTTGCTTCGTATTAAATATTATTCCATAATAATTTTCATTATATAGTTGTGAGTCACCAATTGCGACCACATAATTTCAACTAAACAGTAAAATTTGATATTCAATGAATTCATTTAGGCCAGATTAAATTAGAAACAAATACTGCAATATAGTGTAAAATGCATACATTTTGAAAATTTTGTTCTTTTTGGCGACTTACAACATTTTTAAAATTTCTTCTTCCCTGTTTATGCCTTTAAGCAGTTTATGTTTATCTTTCATGTGCTTTGAAAAAAAAGTTAAAAATTTCTAAAATATTTCAAAATATAAAAAAATCCTTTTTTTCTAGTCATTTCTTTCAAAAATTTAAAAATTCTCAAAATTTTTTTTTCAAAGTTTTAAAAAAAAAAATTTTTTTTATAAATTTTATTTTTGGTACGAAAAGTTACAGCAATTTACCGTAAGACACGATACCATACACCACTAGTTAATTAAATTAACGTAGGGTAAGTTATAGTAATCGCAAAAAAATCGAAAATGAAAGTTTTCACATATCTACGTTTCAAAGGTTTCTGAATATTTTGGCATACCTTAGAAAAAATGGATGTATGTGTGTGTATATATATGCGCGTGTGTGTGTGTGTATATGTGCGGGTACAAATTTTCGTCGACGATTTCGGGAACACTGATCACCCGATTTGAATAATTCAAAAAACATTCGATTCATATTGATAAGGAGACGTGCTGATTAGTTTTTGGCAAAGGCAGGTCTAGCCGTTCTGAAGATACGGGGCAAAAAATGCCAACGGTAACTCAGTTTTTAAGAGAACGGAGCGTCCGATTTTAATAATTCAAAAAACATTTTACTAGTATTGACAAGATGAAGAACTGATTAAATTTTTGGGAAGGCAGGTCCAGCGGTCAATAAAAATGAGTTAAAAAAATGTCATTTGGCGGTCAAAATTTTTATTGGACATATGTACATCAAATTATCAGATATTTTATAGAGATTTTATTAACGTATACACAATTTGTGTAATTTTTTTTGGGTTCTTCACCAAGATTCTTAATTACGGTACATAAAGTTCCAGCATTTTGCCTTAAGAAACGATGCAATGCAACCCACAAGTTTTTGTAATTAAACCGTTTCTCA